TTTTTGTTTGTTTTTATACCCACAACAGAAATCAATTTGTATGCAAACACGTGATTAATACTACTAACACAAAAAGTAAAACACGTTAGCTCATGCTAGTCTGTTTACTTAAATAATCCAACTTCTCTCTCTCAAATCCATCAGAATTACTTTTCAAGAATTTGCAGACTACATATAGTATAAACCATATACAGTATTTTCTTGTTTACACAAATCTGGTCTTTTCATTTGTCCTGATGTGTAAAAATAATAAATAATACAATTTTCAATATTTTTTTAGTTTTATAATGCCACCTCAACTGGCTGTAAAGATTACTGAAAAGGCCTCAAAAAGGCCCTCGAACCACCAGTTGATAATCACAATCGTAGCTGGTTTTACGGCTCTGGACACATTTTATTACTGAGCCAMGTAGCAGAAATGGCTCTTTTGATTGTAAAGGTTGCAGACCCCAGGACTAGTCCAAAGGAAAATAGAATTAAAAGGGGCTTAAAGCAAGTGCACTTTGACCTGTCTAACAAAGATTATACCAGTCTTGATGTTACGTTGAAAACAAGCCTATCTGATCTGAATCTGTGTGCAGTCTTGTTTTCCTTCATTTCACCACTCGCCTAACTTCCTTCTCTGTCCGTGCGACTATGAATCTTATTTCTAAACTGTTTATCAGCCTCAGTCTGTCTCTTTCTCTCTCTCTCTCTCACTCCTTTTAATCGTCCGTCTGTCTTTCCTCCCCTCTTTGTTGTCTCTCTGGAGGACCATTACACAGAAACCAGGTATTAAAAGAACATCAAATCCTGGAGGAAGAAATTAAGGGCTAATAAACAATTACATGTTCATCAGGTTGTGTGACCTTTTAATCGGAGGGGAAAGTCTTTGCAAGACATCTGGAAAGATGCTTCTGCACATCATCGTTTTTTTTCTTCTGGTTCGTCCTTGAACAGCTTTTCTTCGTAGCTTTTTTAACAATATCAGACAGTACACRACTTATTTATCTACTGTTTCATCGCTTCAAGTGTGAATGGATGAACTTGATTTAAAATTCCATGCAGGTTAACACTACATTTGCTTCAACTTTTACACAAAAAAGCTACGCAATACAAGAACTCAGATAAGTAAACTTGTCTGACTGTGAGATTATTTGCTATTTTTCCACTTTATTTTCTTTTACTCCTTGCCTTGTTCACAGATCTTGTTCACATGCTTACATAACTCCACTTCCGACGGAACGAAAGGAAAGGGCACAGTCGTATGGAGAAAGGTGGGTGAGGATGAAGGTGAAGGAACAAGAGCAATCAGAGGAAGGTGAAATTCAGGCCTAATAACACAAAGAGAAGTGGAGGAAGAAAACAAGCTAGGGTGAGGTTCAATGAGAGAGGTTGTTTGGGAGCGCAGAGAGGGATGGAAAAAAAGATGAAAGGAAGCAGTTGAATCATGCAGTAGTCAGTTTCCTGCTTTCCTGTACCACCAAGGGAGGTCAGCAATCCCATGGTATACAGAAACTGCTCCCTACCACTGATAATGCACTCATTTTTAATATGAAGTTCATATAAAACGCAGCACAAACAAGCCACAAATTGTCTTATTTGATTACATCGAAAGGTTTCACCTTCAGCAGCGGAAAGATTTAAGAGTACAGTTAAGCAAGAGATAATAATAATTTATCTAAACATCTATCCAAAAATTTCAGAAAATGTTTTTGTTTAACTCTGCTGTTCTAAGACAATGAGTCATAAACTTGGCAACAATGTAGCTTGTACATAAAACCAGGATTTGAAATGACAAAAAGCTTGTGGTTGGTGTACAAAAAAATAGCTTGTTGTCAAATATTTGGTTACAATATGTGAAAG